CACCTTTCTCCTGTTCCAGCACTCCAACAATTATTCACACCAAGTGCAAAGTCCAAAAAAGAACATTTATTTAAAGATTCATAAATAATAAATAATAAAACAACAAACAAAAGATCTAACAGATTACAGAAGCAACTTTTTAATCTCTCAAAAAAAAAAACAGATCATACCTTGCTCCCTCTGTAGCAGGAGAAAAAAATGTTGCAAACAAAAACTGGCTTCCGCCTCCCTATTGCTCTCATAAAGTTAAACCAAAATCAAAAATAGAAATGATAAATGGCACAATAGATTGTCTGGGGCAGGAGAATCAATTGCAAGCAGCCTCAGCCAGGTAGTGTCTGACACAGTCTCTCTTTGTCCTCCACTGCTGCATGCCCCAGCCATGTAATTACCAACATGTGTGTGACCTCATGATTGGGAAAGAGAGAGAAAACAAACCCCCCACAGGATGGCAGCATAACACATTGAGGCCACAAATGCACTGCATGCATTATGATACATTTATTAAAATATATATTTGATTGTTTTGCTTTTCTCAGAATGGCTTAACCTGAAGTGTTGTAAAAAAAAAAAATAGAAATTTTTTAAGGTACTTTATGAAATGTTACCATGTGGCAACAATGTCCAATAGTGGATCTACAAAAAAAAAATCTTATTTAGTACTTTCCTTATAATTAATAATTTTGTTGTTTGTTTTGATTGAATTGGTGTTGCAGTATTATGAGCTTAAACACAGAACTTAATAATAAATGACACCTTATACATACTTTCCAACAACTGATATTCCAACAGCTTTCATTTATTCCATTCTTTTTGCTGAATTGAAAACAAACCTAAAATTTTATTATCATGTATGCAACATACAGAAAGTATACATATTTTCTCCAATAAATATTATAACAAATAAAACAATTCTAATTTATGTAGATGCACCCGAATAATGTAGCTACTAGCTAACAATGTTTTTACAGTATATATTATACTGTATACTATACTAGTTCTGTCTTATCTGCCTCCATCAGTGATGGAGATGGTACATTACTTAAACCATCTCCATCACTGCTTTCAGCAAACATCCAATCTGCATCATTCTCATGGTTGCTAAAAGCCATCTTATCCTCACTTTCATCTGCAGGAAAAGCCAGTTCTATCTTTGTCTTTTTTCACTCGCTATAAAACATGGCTTACCAATACACTGTTATCTGTATTCATATCTAATCAAAAGTAGTATTGCCAAAATGAGATTTTATCCACAATGCAAATTTCATTAACATATGACTAATCAACGGTGCGAAGCAGTGGCGCAGTAGGTAGTGCTGTCGCCTCACAGCAAGAAGGTTGCTGGATCGCTGGTTCGATCCTCGGCTCAGTTGGCATTTCTGTGTAGAGTTTGCATGTTCTCCCTGCGTTCGCATGGGTTTCCTCCGGTTGCTCTGGTTTCCGCCATAGTCCAAAGACATGCAGCACAGGTGAATTGGGTAGGCTAAATTGTCCGTAGTGTATGAGTGTGTGTGTGAATGAGTGTTTGTGGATGTTTCCTAGAAATGGCTGGAAGGGCATACGCTGCGTAAAAAAAAACGTGCTGGATAAGTTGGTGGTTCATTCTGCTGTGGCAACCCCAGATAAATAAAGGGACTAAGCTGACAAGAAAATGAATGAATGATGAATGACTAATTAACAATATATTACTAGAATTCATGTTGTTATTGTTACAACAAAAAGATCACAGCTGACCTTACTAGCTAGCTAACCTATTGCAATATTGCACATTCCACCATTGGACAGTGTTGCCATTTCGTCACCTTAGAATTATAAGTTCTATCTGACTTTTTGTCAAAATTGAGTTATTGACATATTCTTATTAAATGACAACTTATTTACATTATGGGAGTTTTTTTTTTTTTTTTTTTTTATAAAGTTGTTTACATTTTAAGACTCTTTATTCAAAAAAACAAATGTTACACACATACTGTTTGCTATATGGATTGCAAAAACTTTAAAGCTCAATATCTCTAAATTATTTAGAACGCAGATAGAACCTTATAATTCCAAGGGGACGATTTGGCAACACATACATTTGATTGATTTACGAAAAACTAATTTGATAAAAACCTTTTGTAAATATGCCATCATAACTTATTGAAGGTGATGTTTCAGATTTTTTTGTGTTTCTGACATGAGTTGAACCTTTGTTTTTATTGACGTTTTCATTTGCATTCAGCAACTACTCACAATGAACCCGAGTCTGTCAGAAATCGCGCCACAGAGAAACACTGCAGGTCATGTGACTTAACCAAAGCACATCATTGGCTACACTATCTTACACTATTGTCTTCTATTTCTAACAAAAAGAAATTGAACTGTGGTCTTAAAGAAACAGTGGTAGAGAAATTAACATAAATATCATGCTACACGGCACCACTATGCGGTAGAGGGTAACAAGCAGAATAATAGGTTACAACATTGTGATACACATGGTCTAATCATGACATTATGACATTTAGTTATGACATTTAGCTAGTCATGAGAGGACAAAACTTGAACTTTAAAACTATTGGAATCTTTAACCCTCTGGCAACATGCTCTTTATGTTCACTTCTCTGCCGCTGTCTCTTTAAGACAAACAATCTAATTTTTTTTGTTTTTAAAGAGAAGACCTTAGTTTAGCCAAGGATGTGCTGTGGTTAGGTCACATGTATTGCAGTTAGCTAATCTAATGTGAGTAGTTGCTGAATGCAAACAAAAGCATCAATAACAGCAAAGGATCAACTCATGTGACATCCACAAAGAAATCGGAGACATCATCTTTGTTATGTCATCATGACATATTTATCACTCAAAAATGTTTTTATGAAATAAAGTTTTTGTACATTTATAAAATGTATGTGTTGCCATGTGGAATAGGTTAGCAAGCTAGCACGATCAGCTGTAACCTTTTAAGTTGTAACAATAACAACATTGACACTAGTAATATAATGTTGATTAGTCATGTTAATTACATTTGCATTATAGATAAAATCACATTTTAATGGCAATGTTACTTGATTAGATATGAATACATGGAACAGTATATCAGTGAACACCATGTTCCATGGCAAGGGAAAGAAGAAAAGGACAGAACTGGCTCTTCTTGCAGATGAAAGTGAGCATCAGATAGGATTAAGTGACCATGACAATGATGCAGATTGGACATTTGAAAAGAGCAGTTGGGAGACAGTGGAGACAGTTCAGGTATGATAGCTCAGAGGCAAGTGAGACAGGTCTAATATAACAAACAGTGTTACATTATTCTGATGCATCGTGATATGTTAGGTTTGTTAATACATGTTATAATATTTTTTTGGACCTACTGTATGTTGTATACATGATAATACAAAATGGTATTTGTTTTTAATAATATCCAGCTAAATAAGAATGGAAAATTAAAAGCTGTTGAAATAAAAGTTGTTGGAAAGTATGTATAAGGTGTCCTTTATAAGTTCTGTGTTAAAGCTTATAATACTGCAACACCAATGAAATTAACACTAGCAACATTTCAAACAACACAATTATTAATTTTAAGAGAATTAGAAGGAAATTAAAAATGTTAAATTTACATCTACTTTTGGATGTTGTTGCAACAAATAAAGTAGTTTAAAATATTAGATTTTTTCTTGTATTTTTACAGCTTAAGTTAAGCCATTCTAAGAAAAGATTACATTTATATGTTTATCATAGTGCGTGCAGTGGAGGGTGTAAGCAGCTATCAGTTTATTTTGTGTGAGATCCTGTGAGGGCACTTGGCAGAGCCCTTGCGACTGAATAACTGAATGGTTTGTGAATCCATAGGCCAGTTTTCTTTATCTCCTATTGTATTTAAAATGACGTTCAAAGCATGAGGCGTGTAGCTTCCTTTAATTTCATCGTGCTTCTGGGCTCATGCTCCAGTGAGAGTGTAAAACTGATTGGTTGTTTCTTGTCACATGACTTATAGTGAGTTTGCATAATTCTGAATCATTTAGATGTTTTCTCTAACTGGCTGTACTGTTGACATGCCTAGAAAAAAAGTGTGCATCATTCCATATTTGTGCGATATCTGAATGGCCCCTGGCGAGGCAGTGGCGCAGTAGGTAGTGCTGTCGCCTCACAGCAAGAAGGTCACTGGTTCGAATCTTGGCTCAGTTGGCGTTTCTGTGTGGAGTTTGCATGTTCTCCCTCCCTTCGCGTGGGTTTCCTCCGGGTGTCCCCCACAGTTTCCCCCACAGTCCAAAGACATGTGGTACAGGTGAATTGGGTAGGCTAAATTGTCCGTAGTGTATGAGTGTGTGTGTAAATGTGTGTGGATGTTTCCCAGAGATGGGTTGCGGCTGGAAGGGCATCCACTGCGTAAAAACTTGCTGGATAAGTTGGAGGTTGATTCCGCGTGTGGCGACCCCGGATTAATAAAGGGAGTAAGCCGACAAGAAAATGAATGAATGAATGAATGAATGGCCCCTTATTCCTCTAATCATGAGTATTTTGGGGTTCATACTTATTGACTCCATTTCATTTTTGAATTGATTTGATTTAAAAATATTGATGCAGTGTTTATACATGAACGATGAATGGAAGAATTGTGGTAATTCATCGTTGCCAATGGATGAAAGCTATGATTATAAAGAATAATAATTTACTGTACATGAACACCACCAGTGAAGGCTTTCAAAGATGATCACCAAATGAGGTAAATTAGTTTTGTTGATAACTATGAAGGAGTTGGAAAACATAGTTCAGACAATATATGACACACTGGCTTGCTAAATGTAACTCTAAAGAACTTTTCTCTTTTTTTGAGTGACTGAGTTCATCCTAAATGCTGGATTAGATGCCATTGCATGCTGCATTTGTGACTTGGTGATCATTAAAGCCATAATACAGTACTTCAAAAAAATCAAGGGGCAATGAGAGGGGCAGCACACTCTCTGCCTATGTCTAGAAACATGGATCAGTCATTAAAGTGTCTTGATTCTTTCCTTGTGCAGGTTCCACCAGCTCCTCGATGTCAGATCACTGGCTCATCCGTTTGAATGGTGACAGTAAAAGAGGAAGTATGGTTTCACGGTCTTCTACAACATGCCCTTCTTCCATCGCTGACTCCCCAGAGTCACCAGTTTTTAAAAATGAACCCTCAATTGAGGAAAGAGGTCAGTTTAACCACAAAGTTATTTTCTTGTGATTGTAACCAGAATTCAATGACCTTTTAAATAGATTTCATAATAATTATTTCTTCATTTGTTGTTGTGGACAAGTGTCTTCCACCATGTTCTGAATATTTGCGTTTATGCCAGTGTCTTTAGGTGGGTTTGAAAGCAGACCTTTTGTGCGAGGAATCCAAGGTCGTAGTGTAAGCATGAGAAGTCCCACCAAGACTAAAGTGCTCCCACTGCGATGGTCTTTTGGAAATAAAGACCGCCACAAACCTGTGCCGGCTTCTGAGCAGTCTCCTGCAGAACTGGTGGAGTATTTAGAGTCTGGGAGGAGACCAAGATGTACCAAAGACCCTATTGTTTCCCTAATGACTCGACCTTCAGACAAAGACAACGATGCAAAAAAAACAGCCAAATCTTCCAGCCACAGTGGCCTCAGACCTCCAGAATATCTGAAAATACCACAGGGTCAAGAAAGAAGTAGCTCAGAGAAAGCAATGGGCCAACAACCTGCCAGCAGCAGTAGATCAAGAGAAGAAGGGACCTTGACCAGACGGAGCAGCAGAAAATCTAAACCGGACCAATCACACTCCAGGAAGAGCTCTGGAGCAGGGATCCAGTCCAGTTGTAGTACTCCAAGTGGCTGGGAAACAGCACAGAAGCATGAGTCGAGTGACAAGCGTGACCAATCAGAGGATAAACATAAAAAAGGGCAGGAGACTAAACGTCATGATGTCTTCGCTTTTCTCAAAGGTGGCTTTATCAAGAAGGATTCCCTTCGGAAGTCTCGGGATAATGATTCTGTCAAAAAGGCTGATTCAGGGGTGAAGAGCCCATCTGGAGTTTCCCTCTCCAACGGGACACATAATAGAAATCCAGAAGGTAAAGTCAGTACTATGAACCATGGTAGCAGGCACGGAAGTGAACTGGCAAATGGCAAGGTAAGTCGTGGTTCCTCAGACATCAAACGCTCACAAAGCTCATCCAATATTCAAAGCAAAACTGATCTAGGCTTAAGAAGAACAGCATCTTTACACAGAAACGGCACATCGGTGGCCCAACCACAGAGCGTGACAGGGGACAGGGGCTCTCAGAGCACTTTACAATGCACACGCTACAGCACAAACTCACTGGGCAGAAAGAAGGCAGTGCCTGAATCAAGTTTCTAAGACTTGCGCTGTGTTCACACCAGACGCGGTACAAGTGCATAAATCGCGATATTCATGTGTGAATAGATGTGTGAACATCTTGAGTTTACTCGCTTCATTCGTGCATCAAATTAGCTTCATTCACGTGTGAAATTTACTGAGCAATAGACGCAGATTAGCATCATGGGTGAGGCTTCTGTCTGCATGGACTTTATTGAGAGAATAGCTGTGTTTATTTGCTTTAGAAGGACTAAAAAGAAGCGTCAGTTTGTTTGGAGCCGTGTCTAAGTCCACTAAATCCATTCAGAGGTGCACCCAGGTCTGTGTGTTCATCAACTCCTTCAGAACCTATACCTGGATGATGGAAGCATTCAGCGGTGCTTCTGACTGAGCCGAGCCCAGTTTGATGAACTGTTGTCTGTGTCAGCAGTAGGATTTTACTCCTGGACACCTAACAACAAGCACTACATCATAATCACTCCAATCAATCAAAGAGCAAGTTCCTGATTGGTTAACGCTGCATTTTGTTATGCGCAGAAGTACAAATTTTCTACTTTGTTCTACTCGCACCACTTCATTTGCATGAATCGCATCATTCGCGCCTCCTCATTCGTGGATATTGCGCCACAGGATGTTTATTTACGCCTTTGCATTGAATGAACATGTAAATCACTCGCGCTTGATTCTTCTTCTGCGTCTGGTGTGAATGCAGCATTACTTCACTACACCCAAATATCACAACAGGACATCTAAAAGAACTGTTGTATGAAAGGTAGGCTTGAAATGATTACTGAAAGCAGGCAGCACACGGACTATGAAGTTGCACTTATATTTGAAATTAGTAGATGATATATATTTTTTGTTGTTCACTTGTTTCTGCTTCTGCTAAAGTGCCTCTTAGAATTGTTTTTTTTTTTTTTCAGATTGTGTTTTGGCACTGGAAGTACATTACACGCTAGCCTTTACACTATGCTTTTTAATTGGGAAAAAAGCCCCAGATTAATTTTTTTTTGTGCCAGTACATAGATTTATTATATATAATACATGAAGAGAATTGCTAAATATAACTTTTTCTGTTTATCTCTTATGATTCTTCAGATTGTACTGATTGGCTGCTAACCTCTCATGGGTTTTTATGACATTTAACAAAGATGTCAGTTCTTGCACTTTCAGTGATTTTATTGCACCACTATGTTCTGCTTTTAGACCAAAAAAAACTTGATTTTTTTTTGTTTACTCACTGCAAAATATGTACATTATGAATATTTTTGTCTTGTTTTCCAGAAACTGTTATATGACATTAGAAAACAATCACTATCACTAAAACAAGGAAACCTTACTATGATACATTTACAAAATATTATATTGCACCATACACCTCTGAAAAGCAAATCAACCTCACTTTTTTTACCAAGTTTTTCCAAATATTTTTTTTTCTGTTAAAAGATGTTAAACAGGAATGTTGTCTTTTTTCATTTAAATATATGTTATAATAATACAGAAATGAAATAATGTGAAGATAATGCGTTGAGATCAATTAAAAATGAAACATAAAAGTGACCTTAGAAAATAGACACCCATGACGCAGATTGTGTTTGGCTCTAATTGCTCAGAGCTTCAGTAAGAATGTCAAATTGTCTCCTTCCTATTTGAGCTAATTGGGTCTGAATGTCCATTAATCTGATGAGCATAGCAAAACTAATAGTCTTTTTTATGTTCTGCTATCCAAAACATTTAAATAGCCTGAATGCATCTTATGAAGTGTACATCACTCATTATCAAAGCAATGAATTAAAACTGAAACATTATTTTGCAATTTCACACATATGCGTTTTAAAGTAATCTAATAACTCATGCACCACACTAGAAGTGTCTTATTAAATGTTGCATGGTATTTATACTCATTAAATGACATGGTATTTATACACTAGCTCTTCAATTAAATACTGCTACGTTTATCTATTTGGATTCCTTCCAATATAGTTATTTGGAAAAACACACTTCTACAATAGTTTTGTGCTAAACTTCTTTAAAATACCTACTACATGCACTGAACAAAAAAAATATTCAAAGATGATTCATTGTATTTTATTACATTTTTTAAGGTAAGTGGTTTTAAACAAATTATTTGGGCTGAAATTAAACAAATTAAGTTGAACATTACTAAATTTAATATGTTTGTTAAAATGTAGCCCATATAAATTGTTTTTAGTGTAATGCATAGTGCAGAATATCATAAGCGAGATTTTTTTACACTGTTCATTGCAAAATATGGCCACAAAATATGCTGCCCATTTAAAAAATAAAAATAAATAAATTTAATGTTACACACTCTAATATTCAATTGGACTGCCTTTGATTATGGCTCACATTTGCTATGTTATCGTTTCAATATGTTTCCGCTGTCACAGCATTTATTCCTGTCCATAGTTGCATTAATTTCTCACAGAGATCTTGTATTGATGATGGGAGAGTTAGACTGCTGTTCAAAGTCTTTTCCAGAATGTCCCACAGATTCCCTATAGGGTTATGTACTGAACCCTGTGAAGTCCAGTCTGTGTATAAATGATCTCTCATGCTCCCTGAACCACTCTTTCACAGTTTGAGCCTGATGAGTCCTGTCATTGTAATCCTGAAATATGCCCGTTCCATCAGAGGAAAAAAATGGAATCAACTGGTCATTCAGGTAGTCAGCTGACCTAATTCTTTGGGCACCCAACATTGCTGCAGCATTTCAACATCATTGCACTGCCCTCACAGGCTTATGTGTCTAGACACTAGGCATGATGGATGCTTCACTTTATCTGCCTCTCTTTTTACCTTGATGCACCCATCACTCTAACAGGATAAATCTGGACTCATCAGAACACATGACCTCCAATTTTTATGCTCCCTGGGATATTGAAGATTTTTCCCCTATTAGCCTCGACGAGAAGTAGTTTTCTGAAGGCTACACAGCTGATTCATTCAAATCATTTAGTTCCCTTTGCATTGTGAGTGGAAATGCTATTAGTCACTATTAAGCATAGTCGTGACTTCTACACTTGTTTTTTACGATTTTATTTAAACAGACGTTTTTGTTTTTTGTTTTTTGTCAACCAGGGGTGCGTTTCCCAGACAATGATGCAACTCGTGGCTAAACTATCATAGTACGATGCATTGTTTGGGAAAAGAACAATGTAGTGACAAGTGTTTCTTAAAACCCGTAGTTTCACTGTCGCAGATCCATCGTTTGAACCATGTCAGTTATAATGCAAAACATCCATAATGACACTCTATATGGGGCGGAGTAACAACTTCTTTAGAGAAGAACCCCATAATTTCTTTGTACAAATTTTATTGTTTTACACGCACACGCATTTAAAAAAACTAAAAAATCCAATATAAGTTTTGGTATAAATATGCACTTGTTTTCCATATTAATTGAAATATATGTAAATGGCTCGTATAGTGCCTGTGTTTCCTTTGTATAGTAATATTATTGAGAATATTCCATAGTCTATTCTAAATTCACATAAAATCACTTACAAAAGCTAACATGTATTCTAAAATCATATATAAATCATATAATAAATGAGGTTATTTATTAAGAAATAAAATTTAATATTTATTAGGAAATGAAAAAAATCCTACTTTAATAATAATATTAATGGTTATTAACATTATTATTATTATTATTTTTATTATTATTATTATTGTTGTTGTTTTTAAGTAGGATATTGTTTTTTGTTTTTTTTTTAAATGTGTACTTTTACAATTTGACACATGCAAACCACTACAGAAATGTACTAACCAACAGGCCCATGTCATATACAGTACAGATACTTAATAAATAACCTACTATAAAGTAAAAGCATTAACGTATGCTGTTTTTCACAAGCTTTGGAGACATAACATAAATTCTAAAATTATAATTAAAAATGATAAATTCTAATAATTCTAATTAGAAATACATTCTAATATAATTAAATAATAGGTCACCTATAGCTTTCGTCATGAGCCACGACTGTGTTCAAAATGACATGAATGTTTTTTAAAGTGCACTACCTAGTACTTCCAGTTTTAAATAATGTGTTGGACAGTTTTTAACCTAATTGGGCCAATAATTCAACCCTTCGGAAACAGATTAACATCTTTTCCATGACTACAGTGTGTGTCTTCTTAGGAAGAAAAGCTACTCTCTGCTTCACTCATTTATTCATTTTTCTTGTTGGCTTAGTCCCTTTATTAATCTGGGGTCGCCACAGCGGAATAAACCGCCAACTTATTTAGCACGTTTTTGCGCAGGGGATGCCCTTCTAGCCGCAACTCATCTCTGGGAAACATCCACACACACACCGGAGCACCCGGAGGAAACCCACGCGAACGCAGAGAGAACATGCAAATTCCACACAAAAACGCCAACTGAGCCGAGGTTCGAACCGGCGACCCAGCGACCTTCTTGCCTTCTCGCCTACTCTCTGCTTCAGTTTACATTGAATAACTTATTCACTGAAACATTCATTCATTCTTTCATTTTTCTTCGTCTTAATCTCTTACTCAGAGGTCGCCACAGCGGAATGAACTTCCAACTATTCCATCATATGTTTTATGCAGTGAATGTCCTTCCAGCTGCAACCCAGTACTGGGAAACACCCATACACACTCATTTACAAGCACACACTCATACACTACGGCCAAATTAGTTAATCCAATTCATCTATACCGCATGTCTTTGGACTGTGGGGGAAACCGGAGGAAACCCATGCAAACACAGGGAGAACATGCAAACTCCAAACAGAAATGCCAACTGGCTCCACTGGGACTCGAACCAGCAGCCTTCTTGCTGTGAGATGACAGTGCTAACCACTGAGTTTTGCTTAGTTAGTTGATTTTATTATTTTTTTTTTTTTTTTTTTTTGGATGGGCAGTTCATATTTAGCATGATTTGTAGACTAACAAATTTTGATGCTTGCATCACAGAACTCGCACATTGCACATGGGTTGCTGAGTGTTTTGGACAGCATTGACATGAAACAAAC